CTGGGAGTATGGAGGGTGCTGCGGTCGTCAGCGCACGCCGCTGCCAAGCGCGGCTGCATACATTAGCAGCCCATAATCTGCCTTGCGGCGCGCACAGATATATTTGGGAAGCTCGTGCCTGGATGACAGCTCCATATGACGTGGTGACCGTGGTATTCCCGCTGGGTAGGTGTTGCGGCACTCGGTGATGCGCCGCTAGTTCGTGTGCTCTTCCTATATGGAAAGAGTTAAGATGCTGTAGAGCCAGTCCCACATAGGAACTGGTACCTACTTCACTCTGGCACACAGCAACTTTCAAGCAAAATCATGTGTTTTCTAGAGACTTTTTTTTCTAATGAGTACTGATTTCTGCCAGGTATTTACTCCTCAGCAGTACTGCACAGACAGGATCCACTGCAGTTGCAGCAGCCCGTTAACTTCATTCCCTGCTCAGAGTAGCAAGACCCGGCTGTTGCCGTTTGCCAGAGCTCCCTTGACTTGGGTTAAGTCCTGATCCTCATCAGCCCTGGATCTGCCACCACAGCTCATCCACCTTTTGTAATCGCTTTTGCTAGATTAGTCTTTGGACAGCACCATTAATTCGTGCGACGGGGTTAATCCTGTTACCCGCTGCGGATATTTTAACACCTTGCCTGGCTTTGCTTTCTTGTGTCGCAGCAAGGTCCAACTGCTAGGCAGGGATTTGTTTGGCTTTAGCACCTTTCCCCGACACTAGCACCAGCTGGTACAGTTGCAGGGGCCTGGGCTCTGGAGCTCGCTCACTTCGTATCCTGCTGCTTGCTCCACTTTTGATGCTATTTATGATCTATCACTTTCCTACTCATCATCTTGCATGACCTGTCAAAGCGGTGTTTCCAGTCGCTTAGTGGTTAGTGCCCCCTTCCTTCACCACAGTTGATTGTGTCTTCCAGACAACCCTACCTGGATTTTGCCCCTCGTACCTTAGAAGGGAGCTGCTTGGTATCTAATTGAAACAAACAAGCGGTGCTATTTTTTACGATCAACTATTTATTGGGAGATTAAGAACATAGTACAAGTTCTGGTACAGATATTTTGCAATTTTTACAATCAGTCATTTTTAGTTTTTAAAATCTTGTGTGTGTATGTATACTTGTATTTAATCCCTGCCCTTTTTATTGCAAAACTGAGTGCATGTATTTTTATGCTTTAGACTGCTCTGACGGCACTATCAAGCTGTAGATCTTAGGCCGTAGAATATAATCCCTGTGTCTGAGAATCCCTAAGTGACATAAAGCTTCCACATTTGTTTAGTGTTGTCACTTTTCACAGCATAGTGGTATGAGAGGGATTTCAGAGATTTCTGTGTCTCTTTTTGTCCTTCACCATTCTTGTAATCTCGCTCTTATCGATCATTTTTAAAGAAAGATCTTAAATAGTCAGAGCTTTTAAAACAAGGCAGTGTCATTATCCATCTGATAGCAATAAGATATCACTATTATTTCATGATAAATATTGACTCTAATCTTACTGAGTTCTTTTTTAAAGGGTCCACTGCAGGCTTGCATGGGGGGGTGATCAAAAGTCGAATTGAGAAGTGCCGTGTTTTCATCTTTCCTGCACACATATACAGGTGAATATCTTGCTGCAAGCACAACGTAGTAATTCTGTCTTTGTGTTTCTCTTTTGAAGCTGAGAAACATGCTGGTGTGTCTTGTGTGACGGCATCTATGGATGACATACAGTTTGAAGAGACTGCCAGGTACAAGACCAACTAGTAATAATTAAATGTTTTCTTTTTAGGGATTATTATTGGGCAGAGAGAAACTGAGATATTGTAAAATTTAAGGTAATGGGTCAATGGCCTCCCCAGAGCCCCAGGGCTGTCTTGTAATTGGCCTTCTGTATCTGTGATAGCTTGACCCACCTGGAAAACAGATCAATTTAAACAAGTCCAAAATAAATGTGCTGCTTTGACCCAGCAAACTAGAAGCCAGGTGAGAAACTGATGGCCTAGTGATCTTTGGCCCTAGTTAAAATGAGTGCTATGGTTCATTACTTATCTGTTAAATAGCGAATACAGACCTGCAGCAGTTATTGCATGATTTCTTTATTGCTACAAGTGCTCTTTCAGTTTATTTTCAACCATATCATTCTTTCCACTCTTAAAGTTCATGTAACAAAATAGAAACTTTTTGCATTTGAGAACGGTGACTATTTAGTGAACCTACAAGATGATATGGAACTTCAAAAACTGGAACTGTTTTTCATGATTTCCTGAGGGATGTATGACAGTGTGGGAAGAAATGTCAAGTTTTAATAAAAATCTTATCTTAATAGAAAGTGAAAACCATTATCTTGTAGTTAATGCTGAGTTTAAGTGTTTATTTAAAAAACATGGTTTGCTGGCATTTAAGTAAGCCTCTGTGTAATAACTTTGTTACATTGCAGAATCTGGTTTGCTGCCCCAGTGGGAGACAAGCAAAAGAAGAACTAAGATACCTGTTGAATTTCCCCTCAGCCTAACAAACTGGAAATTAGTGAGTGTTTAGGTCAATGCGTAGGTAGGAATGACCTGGTTTCATGGACACAAGCAATTGTCAGGATTGTGAACTGAGCAATATTGGCCATTTGGTGCAGGAGTGATGTCAATTTAAAGTTGTTTGCAATATGTAAGTGTAAAATAAGTGCATGCAGACTTCTGAACAGCAGGATTGTTAGACTAGCAGCCACTGAAAGGAGAAAACTGGCACCAATAAGAAAAGTGAACATGGTCATGCTGAATCTCGAAATCACAAGAGGTTCTTAGTTTCAAAAAACTCAGAATGAATTTTGAAGTTTTTATCTTGAGCATGGCTGTGCTGTGTTTTTGTTTTTGTCTTTAGGAAAAAGTCCTTTCTGTGAAAATTGTAATCACAGGGTCCTGCAAATGAAATCAGGGTAATGCTTGTCTTTTCGGCATTTTCAAGCACCAGCCCTACTTCTCAGGCATTTCAAGATTTTAGATCTCAGTAACTTCAGAGCAATTTGTTGTCTTGTTTGAGGGCAGAACTGGACATCTAAAATGTACTGAAAATACTTTTTCTTCTAAATCTATTTCTAAATATGTCTCTGGTTCTACTTTCACTTCTGATACCAATGTTTCATTATTAACAAGAAGTTAGGCAATGAACTATAACTGTGAAGAGTTTTCATCAATTATTTTTCAGCTTCAAGTCAGACCTATCTGTAGGTCTGTAGCTAACTGTATGATTTCATAAACTTTGCCAAATCTTGTTGATTATAGAAACATCTTGCAAAAATAACAGAGAGCTTAAGTAGTACATAAGAAAAATATTTTGTAAGTTACCCGCTGTAAGGTTGTATTCACCTACTTCAGGTTACCATAAATTTTATTTTTAACTACTTTGATTAACTATTTGGTACTTTTCAGTTGAAAAAGATATTTTTCAAGTATCTTTCCGGTTAAAATGGAAAACTGAAATTCCCACAATATTCCTACATATTCTCACTGAAATTCTCACAATGCTGCTCTATATTGCGAAATTCAGTTTTATTCCATGATAACAACTAAATCCTTCTCCCATGTCTTAATGTACAGCAGTTCATTGGTAGTAAGACTGTTGTCTGATTTTTTTTTTAATACATTTATATGAATTTTGTCAATGCTCTATGTGTAAAGCCTACTCAGTTTGTACTGGCATATTCAGAAGCTCTCTGTGAGTTACAAATGGGCCAAATTCTGTGACTCTTGCCCTTAAATATCCATTTAAATGCCTGAGCTGATTGGCTTCCCTGGCTTAAATAAGTCAGTTTGTGCAGAGTCAGAGTAGCTGATAGGATGTGGAACACTTCATTTGAAACAGCTCCCGAAAGTACATGAAAAGACATTTCTCTGTCATCTTGTCTTGCCGTCTCAGTTCTGACATCTTTATTTTCTGCTATAGCTGTGGATCCCATAGGATTCTACTCTCTGCAATGAAATGGGAATCCAGGCTGAAGGAGTCTAATCTCTGAAGTTCTTGTGGGCTCGACTTCACAGGGTGACATCACACCCAGCTTCTTGCTGTTGTTCTCGACCTGTAGTTTGTGGAAAAGCTTGGCCAGACCCACGCTGTGCCCTGTGAGTCTCTCGTGCAGCGCTCTCACGAGAGGAAGGGGAAGAGGCATGGACAGGACTGGATAGATGAGTTTTGCATGGAAGAAGATTGCCCTGTCAGCGTGAGGTGCTGAGCAGGGGACCTCATGGGCATCTGGGAGTCTGGCATCACAACTTGTTTGGCAGAGTGATCCTGACACCCTCTGCAAATGCCCATGGAGACCCTGAACCCTGTCTTTGAAGTAGAGCTTTAAACTCTTCTATTAGTGTGTGTCTTGTTCAGTCATAGAGTTTATCCACTGAATATGATTCCTTCACCCTGTATTTTCATTACCTGCACTGGGATGCTAACTGTAATTCCCTTGAGAGGAAGAGTTCACAGTATTTGATTGAGCTCTGTTTCCAAGTTTTGTATGGGCCTTTTAAAAAAGTCCATAGCTTTAATTTCTTTCCAAGCCTTTATGTAAACATTGCACTGTTGTTCTGAGCATCATCTTTCTGTAGATGGGCCGATAGTTCCCTTAATGTGCAACTTAGAATTAATCATGTTGATGGTCATCGGTTTTCTTTGCAAGTAGTGGGGGAAAAACTCCTCATGAGTATCTTCCTCAAAAGGCAGGGAGAGCGGTGTATCTAGAGATGGTCATTAATCTTTCCTCTAACCTTTTTGTGTTTGTTTGTTTGTTTTTTTTAACCCATCTTGTCAAAGGCTTCCACCTGCATTTCTAGTGAGAATGAGAAAGAAAAGATTTCTGTATATTTGATTGTTCCTCTCTGGTGCTGGAAAGCAGCAGGTCTCTTTATTTTCTGCCCTGGTGTTTGATAGTAACTATTTGTTAGTCAAATAAGAAAAGTGCTACCTTAAACATAAAGGTCCTATTCATTGAATTAGGAAGAAATGATAAAGAGAACAGTTTTAGAAATGGAGATCATACAGTGCCAAATCCTCCAAACTGTAAATTTGTCCACTTCATAGATAGTGGACAGTAGTTGGAATTACATTTTATTGTCATGGGTGTAGCTTGCTGCACTTTGCCTGCTTTGGGACTGATGCTTAGCAGTAGCTGAGGTCAGTGGCCTGATGCACAGTTACTTGGGCTGTGGTTCTGACTTACCACATGCAGTGGGTCCTGTTCTGGTCAATAAGACACTGGTCAATGAGGGGAACTGCCTTATTCCCACTGTTTCAGTACTGCATTATGTTAGGTTACTTGGAAGATCTAGAGTTTTGCAGACAAGGGTAATTCTTGTTATCACCACATAATGTGCATTTTGGAAACTCCAGGAGGAAAGAGACAAAGAATTTTTTCAGCTATTTAAATCTATGCAGGTAAAATATATGTAATTTTACATAGGTATTCTGTGTAGGTAAATGGGAAACATTAGACTATAGTTTTGTTGTTCACGGCTGTGCTACTATTCGGATGGAATGGTCATGCTGTAACCCTGCTCTTGTCCAAAACTTGAAAAATAAGCTTGTTTTCACCTTTCAAAGAAGTCAAAGAGCAACTTTTGTTCTGTTGTGATACTTTCTGTTGTGTATGCATCTGTATTTTGCTCATTCTTGCAGCCAGATGTGCTGAGTGTTTTGCTAACTCATGGCAAGATGTCTTTGAGCAAATATAGTCTAGCTCAAATTTCTAGGGGGGATCCAGCTCTTACGGACCTTGGGCCTGATCATACGTGGTGTGATGCAGCTCACAGCAAGGTGAAGCAATGCTGGTATTAAGCTCATGGGTCTAATCTTCACCGAGCACCAGTGAAGCCTGCCCTTTGAAGAACTGTGCTAAACCCTTTTCACTGTGTTTCCAGTGGTCTAGGATGGATATAAACTGATCACAGCTAATGAGATTCTCTCCTAGAGAGAGCACTTTTATTACTAGCACCTTGAGAACCAGGTCCGAACCCCTTATTAAGCTTTGTGATTACAAACCATAACTCTTCTTAACAGGGTTGGACAAGTTATTACCATCAAAGCAAAAGTGAACAGAGCATTCAGTACCAGCATGGAGGTAAGAGAGCATCACTCTTATTCCTAACAATGTTTGAAGAATGGAGAAGGAAGGTAGGAGGGGAAGGTTGTAACAGTGATCAGGTGCTTATTAATTTCAGAAGGAGCTTTGTGCAGATATCTAAACAACATTGCCCCCTAATGAAACTCTGGTTTCATAATTACTTTTATATTTGCATATTATCTATCAGATAACTTGTGGCAGAATGGTAACTGGACCCTGAGGGCTTAACCTCTTTAGCAGGTATAATATACAGGTTGAGATGGTTGGTGTAGGTCAGTCAGGTGAATATCACTGAGATATTCACCAGTGTTTGAACAGTGTTTGGATCAGAGCCCAGAGTCCACCGAATAGGTGGGGCTCTAAATATTTCGGAAATTTCTGGCGCAAAGGTATTTCTCTCAGATGTGTGTGTGTTCTCACTGGTCATATTGTAACAGGCATGGTCATGCAGTGCCTCATCACTGACCTGAAACCAGGATTGAACCATAAGCATCCATCCATTGAACCTGGCATCCATCTCCAGTTTCCATAAGTATTGATAAGAGTGACATGAGCATGTCTGCAGGAGACAGCATACCAAAAGATTTTAAAAATTCAAAAACTAGAAGCTTTCATACATGTCAGATATAAAGCCAAATCTGAATGATTTGTTCTGAAATTTGTACCGTTTAATATTTTACCTTACAAGCAAACTAAACATTCATGTACACCTGTGTACACTAAAATTTTACCAGGGCCCAGAGGATCTTATGATGTTCTGAAATGTTCAGAAATGTTTGACGATAGCATAGTAGTCTTGTCTCTTCTTTTTTCCTTATGTTTTTTCTTTATCTTCTTTTTAATTTTTTTTAGGTGTTAAAGACAAGCCATGATTGATTTGCTAAACACTGCATTGCTTTCTACCATCTCAGCGAACAGTCATGTAATATTTTTTACTTTTTGTCCCCATCTCCCATTACCTCCTTCCTTGTAGGTTGGCATCAAGGTTACAGTACAGGATATGTTGGCTAATGTAGAAAAACTTGTGAGTGTGGCATATGCAACATACGTAGCCAAACCAGTTGGCGGTATAAAGGTATTATTTCTGTTTTGTTTCATGCTTAAAGTTATTGGAAGTGCATTTCTGTGAAATTACCCAACTTTTTTTTTTTTTGATTGTGAATGCAAGAAAAGCTTGATAGCTCTTTTCTAACCAACAAGAGAAATACAGCACAAAGTCCAGACTATAAAGACTTTTTTTCCCCTGATCTCTGCTCTGAAACTGTTAGCTTTTTTAATTGTCCACACTTTCTCCTGCACTTTCTAGCAGTAGCAGAATGGATGCCTTACTAGGTGGGGATTGTGGTGTTGGCAGACATAGGGCAGCAGCACTGGAAGACACTCCCATGATCTGCAGGACCTCTCCTTTTCAGAAACTGATCTACTCACATGTTGAAAACTGCTGGGTTTTTTGTTTTTTTAGTCCTTCACTCTCCTCTTCGAGATAGCTATACCATGGCATCACTCTTCAGACAGGAGATGTTACTTTTAAGTCAGTTTCAAATCTAAATTAATTCATTGCCATTTATGTTAATTAGTTTTCGTGCTGATGTTGTTTCTTCACCTTAGTGTTTCCTCCCAGGAGGTGTTAGTAGAAAGCAGTCATAGTGTTGTTTGTCATATTGCTGTACCAAATAGGGACAGTTCTTTTTAAGTTTTCTCACGAGAAAAGCCACATATTCCTCAGATCCTCTAAATATCCCTTTGTATCAAGCACTCTACTTTCTTGAACATGAAGGACTAGAATCGTATACCATTTCTCACTTTCCTGTCCTGTATTATGAGTTAAGAAAGCACATCTGTCCTTTTAGCATCCACTGCGGATTGGCAGACAGCAATCATCCTGTGAGCAGTTCAACTATTTCTGTTTTGTCTTCTGCAATTTTTTTCCCCAAAACTAATGCATAGTCTGTTTGTGAAAAGGTTGCAGCTAAAGTGGTTAACCTGAGAGCACTAAAATAGTCCAAAGATTATTTATTACTCGTTAGGCATTGTGTCCGTGACATTGCCCATTTACCTTTTATCCAGATTTCCAGGGAGGTTATTTCAGTATTACTTTGCTGGCAGTTAACTAGGACAGTTAACTAATGCTTAAGACAGGCCTGCCCAAAGGAAACCTGAGAGCAGCTCAAAATGGGAATTTAAAATCTCAGAGAAATGAACACTCCTTTTCAAATGCACCTTTCTGAATGAATGTTCCCAAAGTTGTGCACAGAGCAGCAGAATTATTTGACCATCCAACTCTTTTAACTGAGCCAACTAGAAAAAAAACTTGGAAGCCATTGAGCAGGAACAGAGATGGGGCAAAGAAACTGAAAGAGGTTGAGTGAAGGCTCAGAGGCTCAGAATGGATAGCAGCACTGCTTCAGGACACCAAAGATTGTTTTTGTGTGTGTTGCAGTTCCTGTGCTGTATTGCAGAGTTCCTGAGAAGAAGGCCTCGCAGATAAATCCCACAGTGACTTTTCACTGACACCTCTACGAGTGCCTCTGCAGTATTAACTAAATATAATTCTTTCCAGAATCCAATGTGGGATTAGATTCAGTTTGGCCCTGAACTGCAATGCATGAAATTTGCACCTAAGAAGCAAAAGACCCTATCTTGGCAAAAGAAGAATGTGCATGTGGGCACAGCCAGTATTTAGGGCATAAATCTGTAATGCCAGAAGCTGCATCAACCACCCTCTCAGAAAACCAACATTCCTCTGCAAATAAGTGCTCAGGTAGTCAGGGATAGATGCAACAGGCCGTGTGGGTATGGAGTGAATACTAGGAGCAAGAGTACCTGTGATGTGAGTGAGAGTGGGCTTTGGGGTACACTTCCCCCTCTCTGTACCACTGCTCAGTGTGCCTGGCTTGCTTTTGCTGATGTGAAAATTTTATGCTCTCAAATTAAGGTTTATTTCCTTTTTTTTTTTTTAATAAGAATGATTTTTAACAGCACGTGCTGTCATTCATATGTGCTTTAAGTGCACTTTGTCACTGAGCTGAAACAAATAGTCATGTTATGAAAGTGGAAAGGGGCAGGAAGGTAATGCAGAATCTCTTGAACTTTAACTCTGCTGTTATCAATATTAACAACTCATCTTGGACAGTTGATAGCAAAGGATTGTAGCAAATGCTAATGCAAACTCTTATTCAAACTGTATCTGAAGAGCAATTTTGAGTTCAGAGTGCGCCTTGTTATGATTATGCAACTAAGAGGGTTTTTTCTTTTTTTTTTTTTTTTGTTTGTTTGTTTGCTTTTTCATAGATTGAATTGAAACCGGTAACTCTTCTGTCTAGACAAGATCACCTGGAGCATAGCCTGGCTACTGAGAGAAGGAGAATCCGCCTGGACTATGAGGAAGTCTTTCAGAATCTGATGCAGGAAAGCAATAAGGAAGATGGTTGCTGTGGTCAGTACAGAACAGGCAACAAATAGTTTGTGGGTAGCTAGAAGGGAGAGAAACGAACAGTCCAGCCACCTGAGGAGTGGTGGTAGTGAGGTAGTAGTCTCAGGTTGGAAAGGGTGTGCCAAGTTTGTGAGGGTAAGACAGGTATTCTAATACAGTAGTATTTATTTGTATTTCAGAAATTCCGGATTAAAGTGCAGGATTGAAAGCAAAACATGCATTAAATGTGAAATGCAGGTCTTCATATAGGGTATATATATGGCATTTAATGGCCCAAGCAGAATCTTGCAATGTCCAATAACATTAGCTGTAATGTAAGTAGAAGGAATAAATCCATTTGGTTTTATGGCTGTTTCTTTGCAAACACCGAGAGCTGTTGATCATTCTCAACAAGTAGGAGAAAATAGTGACGTTACATTATATAGCGATGAAAATAGGCAGAAAAAAAAATTTAACCCTCTTCAGGACCAAACTTCAGGACCAACCAAGGACCAATTAAAGCTGAGGAGAAACACGTTTATTTCTGGTGGTAATCTCTGTTCTTAAACAACAATTGTACTCAAAAGATGCTGTGCTCAATTACACCTAACTATGTATAAACAACAGACAGTACTTAATGGAGGAAAGAGAAAAACAATTGTAAATATAAATTCTAGTACTAACAATTTAGTAATGTGTAGAACAGAAGAGACTGCTGCAAGACAGTAAGTATTTGATCTCATGGTATCTCTCTCACAGGAAATGGCTAATACCATCAAACAAATAACCACAAACTAATTATGGTTTCCACTGCCTTGCCTGGAAACTTCTGCGAAAGATCTTGCCATTGCTAACACTAATTTAGCTTCTGAAGGATACAGAACAAGCAAAATAGTGGCAAGGGGGAGAGGAAAATAGTGTAGAGGTTTTGATCCAGGTAGCAAATGGTTATAAATTACATCCAGCAAGTGGAGTTTGTCTTTTGTTTCCGTGTTATGCAACAACTTAAATAGGTCTAAAGTGCAAGCGAGTCAGATGTGTCTGCACACACGCAAGCACATAGTATTAGGGTAGGTTATTTAGGGCAAAAATCAAAAGTACATTTCAGGTCAAGCAGCATGCAGTCAAGCAGCATGCAGTGCAGATGAGGGCTCTTTAAATGACTGATACGATCTCATGTTTGAACATAATGTAGCAAAATGTAACCGAAAAAAAGAAAGATGGCTAAGCATTTTAAAGTGGAGCTGGAAAAGTTTAGATAGTGGGCAGCAGTTACTAATTCAGATCAATACTTATCTCTTTAACATGCATGCATCTTGTGTGTTGTTCCTAATAATCTCAAGGTTTGCAGGTAGCAGATTATAAAGTATCACCACACTCTCGTCTTCATTAGACCCATTAGCAGAGGTGCAGATCAAACATGGGGGCCAAAGTCTGTGAAAAGCATTTGAATACAAGATAAGGAATAAACTGCTTTAAATGTCCTTTACAGGTGATGCCTAGCAGCCATAAATGCGTGCTGGGCCACATGGCCTGCGGTGCTCTTGGCTAGCTGAGTTCCATATTACTGCTTCTGACACAGCCTGTTGAGGGCCAGGGGTGGCTAGGAGGGATCACTGTGCTGTTACACACAGAGCCATGCTCTGTCCACACCTCTGCTTGGCAGGACAGAGCAAACTTTCAGCCTCTTGCAGCCTTGGGAAAGGGCAGAGGCATTCCATATATTTAAGGATTTTTCTTTTCATCATTCCTGATGCAAATGGTACCTTTCTGTAATGGAGAATTGCTGGGTTTTTTGGTTATGTGACTTATCAGCTGACCTGACATAAACCATTAATACATTGCAGCGATTTTTTCAGATACTCTTAAAGAGGAAGATGCGGTTTCAACTGAGCTTACTCACGTGCAGAGTATTGAGCTTGTCTTGCCTCCTCATGCAAACCATCATGAAAATGCTTTTGGTGGCCAGATCATGGCTTGGGTGGGGACGGGGGGGTGCATTTCAGCAAGGTACTGCTCTGTGTCACAGTCTTTTTGTAGGGTTCTGAGTGGGTGTGTTCCTCAATTTTAAAGTTAATAGTTTCAGCA